CCCCAAAACCCCAAAACCCCAAAACCCCAAAACCCCAAAACCCCAAAACCCCAGTTTCTTAAGGATTTATTGAAGTGTATATCTACCAACTAGCCGCAAATCCAACAGCTCTAGGAAGGTTATGCCTACTATTGATCAAATTGAGGCCCAACGATCTCCTCAAGTTCCTCAACCCTTTGAGTAAGCTCTATTACTTTCTGCTTAAGAGATGTCCTGTATTTATTGACTTTGACAAGTTGTTCTGAGAGCCTGTTATTTTCCAATCTTTGCTTCTGGTAATGCCTTTTAAGCTCACTAGCTATAAATGTACTGTAGTTATCTAAATTTTGAGTCCCGTCAGATATCTTTCTGTCAAGGACATGACTTAGAGTGTCTTTCTCAATTTTGAGTACTTCAATTTCGTTATTTTCCCTTGCTGACTAATTGGTTTACTTCAGATATTTCTGACTCAAGGTGCTTAACCTTGCCGATTAAGTTTGCAGTGTCTAGCTTGCTAGAGAGTGACGGAGAAGATTGAAATCCATGATCCTGAGGCTCTTGTGAGAGCTTCCTGGTACGGTAAAAATTCTGTGTAGTCCGATAAGGCTTTCAATTCATCTGACTCAACTTCTGACTATGAATCTAGAGAAAGAGTTAGTGTGAGGTTTGAGGGATTTAAAAGAGATTAGCTTGGATAAGCATACGCTTTTGTTTGCAAGGGTTCTCTCTGGATCAATTTTCATTAAGGGGCTCTCTCTTCACAAGGGATTGAATTTTTGAGGGGTCATTATCCCATAGGGTGTTGCTTTGAAGTTGCTTGAAATTGTCTTGAGATCTCCTATTCTTGACATAAGTTTTGACTCTTTTATTTGAAGTTTATTTGAAATTATTTCCAGTATAAGGAGATTTTAGCTGTGCTGTCAAGCTGAGATTATCTCTTCGAAAACGCCTATAGACTTTTATATTTTATTCCTAATTTCATTGAATGCAAAAATTAAAATTGTCTAACAATAAAATTAAACTCACTCAAACCAAAATCATCCTCCTCAAAAACCTCCCAAATCCAGCTGTTGCTTAAAACAACTCAAAACCCATTATTTTTCCTCTATCTCATCATCCAACCCTACTTTCCCCTCTTACTTCGAACTATAACATCTCTTTTTCTTAATCCTAAAACTCTTTGTTTCCATAAATAAAATAAAATAAGGGGTTTTGGGGTTTTGGGGTTTTGGGGTTTTGGGG